CTGCTTTATCATTTGACATTGTTTCGATAAAATAATGTAATTAGGTATAAAAATAATGATGATAATTTTACTAAATGTGTTGCTAAGCGCAAACTCGAAAACAGCTGGACGAATTCGGAAAATTTTTAGTTAGGGAGCCAAATTTCGAACGGAACTATATTTTGAAAATGAGTTCTATGTAGCAGCTCTAATTCCATGATTCGTTTTTCAGTTCTGAATCTTCAGATTCAGAGAAGTGATTTAATAATTTACAATATTACAGATTACGCTAATACATTAGGTATTTAAATATTATATGTATATTCTAATCCAACAGACAAACTGTGTATACAGTTATGTTGGACATCTTATACTTTTTATAATGTAAAATGTACCTTCTAACTAATAATAAATAAATAAATAAATAATGACAGCCAAGAAAGATATTATCTTAATTAAATATATAATAATAAAAGTGTATTTGTTTAAAGGAGCTGGCTAGGCCGTAGCGATACCTCGGCCTCACAAAAAACTGGCGTAAACCAGATTTTATATTTTCTGTAATTTTTCTTTAACCATTCCTCTCTCCTATTCCCAATTATTTTATCCCCCAATCTATAATTTCCTCATCCCAAAAATGCTAGCAACAAGCAACACACTAATGTGAATCCGCGGTTACAACCTGGTGATTAGGATGCTCGATTTTCATCACTCATAAAAAAAGCTAATATGTTTTATTTGGAACAGATGTCGCGTCCGTACTCCCAGACTAGCCAGCCCCTATTAATTATAATTTTTCATACAAACTTATTATATCCACATAGTGCAAATTTTAAAAACATCTTTTTATGAAAAAATTATCTTATCATTCTACAAAAGTACAAAACATATCGCCCCCGGGTGGGCTCGAACCACCAACCTTTCGGTTAACAGCCGAACGCGCTAGCCATTGCGCCACGGAGGCCTTGCCATTAACAGTCGAATTTACCAGCCAAGTGCGAATCCCTATTTGAAACGGAGGGTTCTTCAGACAAAAGTTAAGTAGTTAGAAGTGTAAAAACCATTCTAAAACCACACAATAGGAGAGATGTGAAAGGACAAAGTGTGAAAAATTAAAATATATTTAGTCGTCCTCGCGACGTGTCCGCAACGCGACGCTGCTCATGAATGAATAAGAGCCCCGTTGTGACTTGAAACTAGTCGAGCTTTTTTCGTAAAGTAGACAAGTAATTCACTTGAGTGATTCGTTAATTTCAATAAATCTACCAAGTTCATTAAACTGATACTTAAATTAAAACATTTCACAGATAATATCTCTTATTATTTTGAATAATAAAACAATCGGGCGCCGCTCAAGATGAGTTACCGAGTGCGTAGCCGGCCTTTTAGGTATTAAGGTTCCGGAAATTTTGGGATAGGTGAGGGATACAATTTTACAATATTCAAATCTGTTCCCAATTTTGACACAAATAGGTCAGCTCGACCAGAGTGATACCACGGCCTCACACAAAACCGGCGTGAAACAAGCAGCGTTAGGTTTTGCCGTGCTAATGAGGTTACCTGAGGACCGATCCTTCTTCCTTTCCCCAATTCCCCAATTTCCCCAAAAGGCAGGCAACGTCCTCATAACTCCTTAGGTGTTGCGGTGTCTATGGTTGGCGCAGATTGCTTACCATTTGGTAATCTTCCTATTATTATTTAGAATCACGATGTACATTTTAGGAGTCAGAATCACATGCCTCCGTGGCGCAATGGCTAGCGCGTTCGGCTGTTAACCGAAAGGTTGGTGGTTCGAGCCCACCCGGGGGCGATTATAATATATTTTAAAACACAGTGCACAGATTAAATTATACGAAATTAAAAAAAATTGACTTCATCTAAAATGCTGGAAAAAGTTCATGTCTTTTTTTTTCTATGTCGGCAAACGAGCAGACGGATTATCTGATTGTAAGCAATTAGCGGCACTTGTAGACCGCAACAACGGGAGAGTTACAAGTGCTTTTCTGACCTTGGGGATAAGAGATTGAGGGATTAGGGAGTTCAGGATTAATAAATGAAAAAGACGTGTTTACTTTTCACAACGAATGAGGAAACAGTTCTTTTTATGAGATAGGACACCAAACGACCAGACGAAGAACTTGATGGAAAGCCATCGGCGCCTCCCATGGAGGAGTCTCAACAACAGAAGAGTTACGAATACGCATTCGTAACGTTACGTAAAAAGGCGTTGCCGGCTTTTTTTGGGAATAGACTTTTTTAGGGGGAGAAAGATTGGCCTCTGGTAACCTCACTCACACGGCGAAACACAACGCTGTTGTTATTTCACGCCGGTTTTCTGTGAGGCGGTAGTATCACTCCGGTCGAGCCGACCCATTCGTGCTGAAGCATGGCTCTCCCACATTTGAGGTGTGTTTTAACATTTAAATCCCTTTTTACCAGTGCAATTAATATGATACAGAGACTACCTTTTTTCCAGTGGCTTCGATTTTTTTATCAGACCAAAAATTCAGTAGTTTTTGGATGGATGAAGTACCTATAAACATGCATAATTATACTTATATCCTCTCAAACTTTTATATTTAAATTGAATCTTGAAGGAGGTTTTATCACAATTTGTCGGACGAGAGTGCAACGAATCGTACTCTGGCCGAACGTCAAACGGACAGCTCTGCGTGCGCCAGCCTAGCGCAACTTAGAAGAAAAATAAAAATGTATGGGCTTGGCACGGCAAATAATGGCACACGGAAGTAGCCGGATATTGCCATCCCACTCCCTCAGTACAGTTCTCTTTCTTTCACTAATCCGTCGGCCATTTTGTTTGAAGTTTTGAACTTTGAATGTCGTTGCTTTTGTAAGTTTATGTTGTTATTTTCATAATTTCATAAATTTACGTATAATTTGTTTAGTTAATTAGTGGTTAGTGATACGGCTGTGACTAGTTACGTGTTCAAGTAAAATGCCACCAAAAAACGGTTTCTAACTTGTGAAATCTGTGGAGGACGATCCGGTCGTAAAAATGGCGAGAAAAGGATGTTTATGGCGAAATTTCCTTTGGATGAGGACTGGTAAGCATTAAATGATATAATTTTATTTAATTCTAAGTATAAAAGGCTGCAAATACATGTAAATTGATTTTCATGTACTTATTGTGTACTAGTGATGTACCTCAAGTATCGATAGTCACAGACTTATGTGTGGGCTAAACTCCAAAGATCCCTTGATTTATTAATTCTTTCGTGATTTACTTGCCAGACCACACCAAAGAAGTAATGATGTTATTAGATGTTGTTGAACAAAGTTGTGACACGACAAACCCAGTAGATTTTAAGAAATTAATGATTAAACGTAGATAAAAAATTATGTATACTGTATTCGTAAAATTAATGCATTTATTATAAGGAACGCCAGCTGTTTACACAATTTAGAGTTATTCATGTCAGGGACTGTCCATTTTGAATTTTTCCATTTTTCAGGTGCCGGCAGTGGGTGAAAGTTGTTGGCAAAGAAGATTTAGTGTATGTGCCCATAGAACCAATTTACTGAACCAATATATGTATTAAGTATTAGAGTCCACTTAATTTAAATAATTTTAGTTAGATCCTTAACACACCGTCCGTATATAACATGAATTTGAATATTATTACAAAAATATATTTTTTAGTTTTTAATTTATCACAATGTTTTATTTCAAATCCGAACTTTATCTTAAAGTTCGAAACTAAAAATAAAAAAGTAATATGACCTCGATTTCTACCCTATAAAAATATTATCGATATCGATACTAAACCTAGTATACAGCTGCCACAGAACTATTTGGTCTTTTAGGTTGGTACTATTGATTTTGACGGCTGACATCTTTTATTTATTGCAATGTAGGTATTAGAGTGCCGTGTAAATTGATTCCACTGGCTTGTATGGGAGTCCCGTCTCTTAAACGTAGTGGTTACATACTCTTTGTGCGTGCGCATTATGGTCGAGAGCGAGCGCTGTGACTGTCATATGAGACGGATCGTCGAAGACCGTTATTTTTGTAGTTTATTCGGTCTGATTATAAAATCTTACGCCCTGAGATGGACCGTGAAGACGATGATCGGTTTAATATCTCTGAACTCTGTACTTATAAGCGCAATTTATTTTACTTACTTTTCTTGCATTACACTTAAATTCAACACACCACCACACGCTAACATTAATAAAAAACAAATTGTTTCTTATAATTATTTTGAGGGTTTTTTTTTTGTGAGGGGAAAATCATCAAATGACTTCTCCCGCCCAGGGCCGGGCAGTTGTTATTATTTTAATTAATTTATTTTTTTACTTTTTATGGCACATATCGTTTCTATTGATTTTATTATCATTTTTATATTAATTTTATTATTTAAGTAAATCATTTTGTGCTCCGAACAGCGTTACCTTATTATATAATTAGTACGTACTACTACGGGCTGGTGCTGAAAATCAGCGCCGTGGACTCGTGCCTTCGTGCTCGGGCCACAGTATGAAGCTCCAGCCTTTTGCGCTGCGACGCACTATGGGCTTTTGTGTGTGGTGTGTACCTATATTCTTGTTATATGTCGTGGCGTAATAAATGGTTTTTCTTTCTTTATTTCTTTCTATATTTGTACCAAGCCCTCGGTGCCTTCATACTTATAGGATACTAGCTACTCTCACGCGGTTTCACAAGCTGCTCCATTTGATCTTAGCGTGATGTTTTATAGCCTATAGCAGTCAGGAACATTGTAGCTATCTATTAGTGAAAGAATTTTAGGAATCCGACCAGCGGTTCCAAAGATTACCCCCTACATACAAACATACAAACTTACAAATTTTACTAGTAAAAGTAGAAGTAGATTTCTTTCTTTCTTTCTTTCAAGAAGCAATACATTGGATACTATGATAAAATGTTGTGATTACAATGGGTGGTCTTATCACACAAGGCAATTTCTTCTAGACAACCTTTAGATGGAAATGTATAAAAGAAACTTGGTCATGGAAGGAAGGATAGAACAGGATATACTCACAGCTTTGGGTACACCTTCCAAAACCGTAGTGTTTAAGTGGGGAACGAAGTATCTTGCTCTAGCCAACATAATGAACCCTGTCTGCATCTTCACTTTATATTCTTTGAGGGCACTGCAAAAAAAAAACAAATTTATTTAAACTATAACGTTGTTGAGTTTGTTGATTTTCAACCCTAAATACTTTTCCGTTAGCTATATTTCTATAATCTACTCTCGCTCTCTCTCGGCTCCATTTAATCGTAGTGTGATGTTTTATAGCCTATAGCACTCAGGAACATTGTAGCTAATCTGTGAAAGCATTTTGGCAATCCGACCAGCAAGCGGTATCGAAGATTACCCCCTACATACAAACTTACAAATTTTACCTCTTTATAATATTATTAGTATTATTATATTAGTATAGATAAGTATAGATATAGCGTAGTGGTACGCGCTGCCAACCTGTCCCTCGTCCTTCCTACCAGTGCCGGCGTAACGGCCACTGACACCCCGAGCGAAAATATTGTAACACCCACTTGAGGGAAGCAATATCAAGTGTTAAGTTTTCTATAAGAGTTGGTTGATTTTTTACCCTAAATATTTTTCAGATTGTTATTTTGTGGCGAATTGTGATTTACTTGTTATAGAACTCCTATTATTTAAATTGGAAAATATGTAACCTGTATGTCAAATCAAATCAAATCATTTATTTGCTCATATGGGTAAATTAAGTTGTTAGTAGATACAGATCCGACCATTTTACGCCTTGAGGCATGCAAATTATAAAATAACAAAAATGGCGGCATCACAACATTATTTGAAGAAAATATAATACATTCAAAATTCAACTATCAACACAATTATTGTAATATAAGTGGATTCAAATTATAATGTCATCCCTAAACCTTATCCTCCTTATTACAAAACAAGATTTATCTTTAGTCCAGGTTTAAGCCATTGAGTCGGGTTTTGAATTTTGAATCTTATTGTCATCTACCTTCAATTCGAAATACGAAAACTGGCTCAATGGTTTAGTCCTAGACTAAAGTAAAACCTTGTTTTGTAATAAGGCCGTATGTAATTACATATTTAAGTTTGAGCTTACGTTGATATTTCCATTGAAATTCTTCTCAGCTCTTTGATAGTAGCCATAGCCGTCCACTTCATCAGCTTCTTGCCAAGGTACGCGAGATGCAGCCGGTTCCTCATTTGCTGTAGAGCTACTAGCGATGGCATGACTTGATACCTGACGGCACCCATAGTGGGTTCCTCATTGTCTGTAGAGAAGTATTAAATATTAGATTTCTCTTTCAGGTCTTCATTGATAGAATAGTAATTATCAGGATTTTGAGAAGTCTGCTGAGGTTTCAGCATGAAGGTACCGAGGTTCCAGAAAATACTTTAGCACTTTAAGTGTGGGAGAGCCATGCTTCGGCACGAATGGGTCGGCTCGACCGGAGTGATACCACGGCCTCACAGAAAACTGACGTGAAACAACCACAGCGATGTGTTTCGCCGTGTGAGTGAGGTTGTCGAAGGCCCAATCCTTCCCCTCCCCAATCCCTAAATCTCCCAAATCCCCAAAAGGTCGGCAAAGCATTCGGAACTCTTCTGTCTCCTCAAAAAACGTTGCTGGCGCTCCCTCCCAGCTCACTCAGGGCTGGAGAAGCCAGTCGATGAATTTCGATTCATTACTTTGTTGGCCACTTCTATACTAATATTATAAAGAGGTAACATTTGTAAGTTTGTATGTAGGGGGTAATCTTTGGAACCGCTGGTCGGATTGGCAAAATTCTTTCACTGATTGATAGCTACAATATTCCTGAGTGCTGTAGGCTATAAAACATCACGCTACGATCAAATGGAGCTTAGCAGCGGGTGAAACCGCGCGAGAATAGCTAGTCTTTGATATTTTAAAAAGCAAGGATATTATATTAACTAAGTAATAAAAATGTCTACTACCGTCGTCGTTAAACATTTTGCCGGTTTAATATGATTCTTCTGTGTCTATTACAAATTAGTTTTAAAGGTTCGGTTATGATAAATTTTGGTCAATTTTTATATGTGCTTCTTTTAGACCATTTTCCAATCAACTATGTTGTTTCTATGCATTTTTCTTGTTGTTAACAGTTTACGTATCCATTTTTATTTATTTGGTAATTTTAATATTGTATTATTGCTTGATAACATGGTTTCTGTGGTTTTTGGTGTGTGACAAAATTTTATTTAACTGTCAAAGATTATGTTCATTGATTTCTTTCTTTTTTGGCTGTCTCCCGTCTTGGTGTAAAACTCTTTTTATTATTAATCGTTTTTTTATCTGTGTTACAAAGGTGTCACGAATAGGAATGCAGAATTTGGAACTTAAAGCAATGAACTATTTCATACTGTAAACTATTGAACGAAAAATTTCATACCTTCATTATGATACCTACCGGCAAAATATTTCTTTATTTTTTTGGCTTGCGTTCAAAACTGTCTCTCTGGTGTAATTTAAGTCATTTTAGAGCCATAGGTACTACGAAACAAATTGGCTAGCTAGAACAGTCTAGTTCCAAGGCATCACAAAAACTCTTCACCAACATAATAAATCAAATAATCGTTCTTAAATTTCGTACGATCTCTGAGAAGGCAGTGAACCTCCTTCATGCATCATCATAAAGTAATCTAAAGGTGAGCACGGTCACATGTGACCTGGGTACAGTTTGCGCCCTGTAGCGCGTGGTCGTGCTCTCGCAAGATCAGTGCGAATGAGCTCCGGTGCGAGTGGAAGCATCGGTTGTCTCAAACAAGTGCAAAAGGGCTGATCAAATAGCTAGCCATCAGATCACCACAGATCGGGCCTACTAGGGCGTGGTCGGGTTACTTGTAAGGTACAAATAAATGGCGTTCAGCGACCCGTCTCTCAGAAGATGGAACGGGTGGTTTTTAGTTAGTAAGAATCTGACATCGTCGACACTGGTGGTCTAAATAAAGATCTTTGCCCAGTAGAGGGACATTATAGGTTTGTAAAAATAAGAATCTGACACTCTCTCCCCTTACTTGGACCAGAAAAGGCGCTGGATGATTTTTCATCAGAAAAAAATAAAAATGTTTGAAAGTTAAGCGCCCCCGGGTGGGCTCGAACCACCAACCTTTCGGTTAACAGCCGAACGCGCTAGCCATTGCGCCACGGAGGCTGTGAGATACGCAACTAAAATTACCTTCTATTAGAACTCAGAAAACTGGGAAGAAGTCGGTATGAAATATTTAATCTTTTAAGTGTGGGAGAGCCAAGCTTCGGAACGAAAGGGTTGGCTCGACCGGAGTGATACCACGGCCTCAGAAAAAAACCATAGCGTTGTGTTTTACCAATCCCCCTCCTCCCTCTAACCCTTCCCAATCCTTAAATAACTGAAACCCGTATCCCTAAAAGGTCGACAACGCACTCGTAACTCCTCCGTCGCGGGTGTCCATGGGCAGCGCTGATTGCTTACCATCCGTCTGCTCGTTTGCCGACCTACATAAAAAAGAAGTACCTACATGTTTAGACTGAATTTATGAAACTTAAATTTAAACAAGACATAATGTTGTTTACTTTCTTCTTTCGTAAAATAGGTATTTCAGAAAAGAGTAGGTTATTGTAAAAAACTGTAAAATCGTGACTCCTTGGCCACGCTGTAGGGCGGGACAAGTAACTTGATGACTCTCTTTAAAACACGACACGAGTGAGAAAGCATAATAGGAAAGAGCACATCAAACCATACTAATTTTAACATTATCTACTAATGATCAAGAATCTCAGAAAACTGTCCAGGTAAAACAAAACATATTAAACATTGACACACGAACTGCAACATTTTCTTACAAATCGAAACAATTTTAATTCTATGATTTTCAACTAAGCTAAGTGAGGAGTTTATCGCAAACCATAAGCTTATAGATCAAACAGACAAGTAACGCCATCTATCGACGGAGACAAGTAACTTTATAAGTCTACGTTCTTCTAAGATGACTTAGCATCAGCACCTAGCTACCCATATCCTTTGACGCTCTGAATTTCAGCTTAAATTACTAATCACTTAGGCCATGAAGCGTAAGGCCCGGTTCAAACTGCGTTGCTAAAATTTTCAACTCTGAGAACTTTTTGAGACATTCTTAACTTTTCAAAAAGCTTTTAACAACGAAGGAGTACCTACATAGTTGACTACTAGTCCTATTCAATACTTCATTCTTATTGTCTCAATTGTCCATTTTCTGTGTGTCAATACCTACATGCGTTTTTAGTTTCAAGTCACAATGGGATTGTCATTTAAAAGCAGCGTGCGCGTCGCGGTTCCGGCGTGCAGCCGACTAAATAGTATTTTTTTTTCCTAGCTACCATTGATACTAGAGCTTTTCTCGGTTAATTCAAAGTCTAGATCATATATTCCAACTAAACTATTAAACTTCTAAAACATGACAATATAATAATACTCCATCAGAACTGGCTAAAAGTATCTAAATATAATTCACAAATGATTGTTCCGGATCTGATCCCAACGAGAAAAAACCCCAAAAATATTGAAGAATGCAATGTATGCCCGTGTGAGGAGAACCTTAAACACTTTAGCGCACTCTACTAGGATTACCAGCGGCGGCTTTAGTAATTGCGCGAAATTGGCTTTTTAATAAATTTACCTTAACGCCATCTAGTGAAGGTTGCCTAAATAATAAATGAATTTTCTACCAAGTTTTAAGGCAGTGTTACGCTGTAGACTGTCTAGGATGATTTTCGTCAAGTTTTTTTTTAATATAGTCTCTTATTTTATGGTTTAGATGTAAAATGGATTTGTAACTGTCCTTTTTTCTATGATTGTTCTTAAGATTATTGGTCAACTGTCGAACCAAAGTCTAAAGTCCAATCTATTGGTCGAACAGAATAGGTAATAATTGCGTTGCATATTCACAATAATGTCTTGATAATTACTTTTGATAATCTTTTGATAATTACGCGCTTAACATGTTTACTTATAATAAAAAAAAATCGAGAACAAATTAAAATTGATTTTACGATCTAGCAACATTATTAGAAAACCTATTTAGTGTAGTATTCTTATTCTTTTTTTATTTTCACAAAAATACGCAAACAGCTTCATATAAAGCTTAGGAACGACGGATAAACGAAACATATTTAGCAATATGTAGCCCACAGCGCTGATCACAGATTACTTGTAGCATGTTTTTTTTTATGTGATAGGTCGGCAAACGAGCAGACGGATTACCGACGGATTACCTGATGGTAAGCAATCAGCGCCGCCCACGGACACCCGCAACGGAGGAGTTGCGAGTGCGTTACCGACCTTTTAGGGATTAGGGATTTGGAGATTTAGGGGTTGGGGGAGGGGAAGGATTGGGCCAAGGTAACCTCACTCACACGGCGAAACACAACGCTGTGGTTGATTCACACCGGTTTTCTGTGAGGCCGTGGTATCACTCCGGTCGAGCCGACCCATTCCTGCCTAAGCATGGCTCTCCCATACTTAAATATATCACTAGGGTGACAAAATGGTAATTAATTTTACTACCGGGTATGATAAGACACAGATAAAAAGAAAAAGGAAAAAATTTAATCTGTATTACCTGTATTCTTTTATCGCCATATTTTTCTGTTTTAGGGCTGATTTTTCAATGGTTAGATAAAAGTTACCTAGGGAATAATTATGATGTTGTCGCGTCAGAATGTTTGTATAAGACAGTGACAGCAACAATTTTATTCCTCAGGTAACATTTATCTGACTATTGAAAAATCAGCCCTTTGACTAATATATCCAAACTAATATTATAAATGCGAAATTAACTCTCTTTGTCTGTCTGGTTTTTCTTCACGCCTAAACTACTGAACCGATTTCTGTGAAATTTAGTACAGACATCGTTTGGAACTCGAGTAAGGACATAGTATAGTTTTTATACCAAAAATCTGCAGGAAGTAAGTATTCCACGCGAACGGAGTCGCGGGCAAAAGCTAGTTTTAATATATAGTCTTACTATAGCTGTCTGTATAGCTAGATTTCTACCATTTATCAACCCTACTAGTAAAATACATAGGCACCATAGAAAAGGTGTATATTCCATAGTACTATCCTCTATAAGAATAATGATGAGTGTGGGGTCGGGCTGAAATGTTCATTACACAAATTATGGAGTCCCACAGTTCTTGGGTTCCCCTGTCAACTTATCAGAGGTGTGAATGATTTGGTACGCGAATGCGAAAGGATTGATAAGGTATATTATTTTTTTTATTAACTTCTACAAATATATGGGCTTTCGGTCACAATACGACCATGCCAGCCTCATGGTAGTAACCTAATACAAGATTTACACTTTATTAAAAACTAGCTACTCTCGCGCGGTTTCACCCGCTTCTCGGCTTCGTTTAATCGTAGCGTGATGTTTATAGCCTATAGCACTCAGGAACATTGTAGCTATCTATCAGTGAAAGAATTTTGGCAATCCGTCTAGCGGTTCCAAAGATTACCCCCTACATGTCATCATCAGCCCATAAGTGCCCACGGCTGAGCAAAGGCCTCTTCTCACACGGAGAAGGTTTAGAACATTAATCACCACTTGCTTGCTTGCTTGCTCAATGCGGGTTGGCGATTTCTAACTTATAATTAGGAATTATAAGTCCATGTTTCCTCACGATGTTTACCTTCACCGTATGTCAGTGACATCTAAATAATCATAGAAAGTACATATAACTCGAAAAAGTCACATTGGTACTTGCCAGGTTCCGAACCCGCGCACTCAAATATTTAAGCATAAATAGGGATATAGGGACAGAGAAAGCGACTTTGTTTTCTACGAGGTATGTATTGATGCCACATCCAACCATAAAATCAACATGCAAATTATTATTAAATCAATGTACGCAAATACCACATCAGAATCAAAAGGGGAAGAGGTGTGAAAGAGGTCTTCGGAGCTCTTTGTAAATTCATAATAGGCATTGTAGGGATATGTCACGCGTACATCAACCCACCAGTATAAAAAGACCCCTGAGTTCTCTTCAAAAACCCCTGAGCAAGGCGAAAAATGATCTAACCAGGGGAGGAAGGGGTTCTAAATAGAATGGCCAAGATATTTTTTATATCAGTGAATTTTTATTATTTTGTCAAGTAAAGAATCTGTCTGTTTGGCGCATAGGGGAGTGAAGTGGTCGAGAAATGCGATAATTACGAGTAATTCTTGGGTTTTAGATTTTATATTTTTATTATTACCTACTTAAGTGTGGGAAAGCCAAGCTTCGGCACGAATGGGTTGGCTCGACCGGAGTGATACCGCGGCCTCACAGGAAACCTGCGTGAAACCACCGCAGCATTGTGTTTCGCCGTGTGAGTGAGGTTACCGGAGGCCCAATCCTTTCCCTCCCCCGATCCCTCCCAATCCCTAAATCTCCAAAACCCTAATCCCTAAAAGGTTGGCAAAGTACTCGTAACTCCTCCGTTGCGGGTGCCATGGGCGGCGCTGATTGCTTGCCATTAGGTAATCCGTCTGCTCGTTTGCCACATAGAAAAAACTTCATGCACAAAATTATTCATGAACATTATTGGGAGTAATGCATTGTTTTTGTATGCTTTTGGTGTTAGAAAATTGCTGTCTCAAAGTGATATTAGTTTAGATAGGGCTTTTGAACTGTAAGACATACCTAGTGAAAAAAATCCTAATAGTTCAGCCGTTCTGTTACTATTATAAAATAAATAAAATTCGTCACAAATAGATTCAAATACATTTTGTATTTTTCGAAACCTACAGTTTTTGTGGTTTTTGCCTCAAATAGCTAACATAGTTATAACTTCTAGAAACAAGAACAACCTCACAGAAAATCGGTGTTAAACAACTACAGCGTTGTGTTTCGTGTGAGGGAGGTTACCGAAAGCCCAATCTTTCATCTGCCCCAATCCCTAATCCTCAAAACACCGGCAATGAACTCGTTCCAGAGGAATTCCTCTGGTGTTGCAGGTTTCCATGAACGGCGCTGATTGCCTACCATCAGGTAATCCGTCTGATCGTTTCCCGTCCTGTCAAATATAAAAAAATCTATAAATAAAAGCTTCATTATTTTTTATATTATCTATAATGCAATAAAGCATCAAAAAGTCGAATTTATTTCATTACACAATTATAATATTATGCAACGAAGAATTGTAATGTTTCTTTATAAAAATGAAATTAGTTTTAATTTCAAAAATGAAACTTTTCCTCTATATCGCCCCCGGGTGGGCTCGAACCACCAACCTTTCGGTTAACAGCCGAACTCGCTAGCCATTGCGCCACGGAGGCTGTACATTTCTTTCTATTAAACTTGAAACCATTCAAATAAGTATAATCTACTTAACAGCATTTTTCCTTATACTTAATATAAATTAAATTTGTGAGTTTGGATGGACATTTGTTATTCTCTCTTTTTCGCATTAAAACTACTGTACGAAACTGAATGATATTTCGCACATAGACAGATTATAGTCTGGAATAATATATAGACTACTTTTAATTCTGGTAGGAACCTACTACATTGTTTGTGTAGTAAAATATAAATATTATAATATTTTTCGTTAATTGTATTTGATATGGGCATACGATAAAGGAAAACTGTGATGAGGAAACCGCCAATCCGCCTTGAACAAGCGTGATGATTGGCCTAAAAAATTATCCCTATCACGCTGGCGTGCCTCAAGGCTGCATACTATCGCCCACTCTGTTCCTCCTCCATATCAATGATTATGTTGCAAATTAGTGGCATTCATTGTTATGCGGATGACAGCACGGGCGATGCCTTTTACGCCGGTCGTGCTAACATTTCTCGGGAAAACGTCATAGAGAGTCGAAATAGGCTTGTGTCTGAAATCGAGACTTCTTTAGAAAGAATCTTAGATTGGGGTAGACTTAACTTTGTCCAATTTAACCCCAAAAAGACACAGGTCTGCGTGTTCACAGCTAAAAAACTGCCGTTGGTCGTATCTCCTCAATTTCAGAGCATTCCCCTCACAACCTCGACCGGTATTGGGATACTTGGCGTCGACATATCGAGCGAAGTCCAGTTCCCTGGTCATCTAGAGGACAAGTTAGCCTCGAAGAAGCTTAGTGTGCTCAATAGATCGAGGCAATGTTTCACCTCGGGGCATCGCATGCTACTTTACAAGGCGCAAGTTCGGCCCCATATGGAATACTGTTCTCATCTTTGGGCGGGGCACCCCAGTACCAGCTTCTCCCCCTGGACCGCATTCAGCGACGAGCTGTTCGAATCGTTGACTGCCATGTTGTCTCGGACCGGCTGGACTCTTTGGCACTGCGTAGGGATGTAGCCTCGCTATGTATTCTCTATCGCCTTTATCACGGGGAGCGTTCTGAGGAATTGTTTTTCGGTTTGATCCCCGCCGCATCTTTTCGCTATCGTTCCACGCGAAAACATGTTCATCCCCATCACATATATGGTTGGCAGTCAACTACTGTGCGATTCTCGCGTAATTTTATTTTACGCGTATTCCCGAACCGATACGACCTTCAAACCTTCAAGAAACGAGCGTACTCCTTCTTAAAAGGCCGGCAATGTCCATGGGCGGCGCTGATCGCTTACCATCAGGTGATCCGTCTGCTCGTTTGCCTCCTATTCCATAAAAAAAAAACATTTTCATTTATGAACCACTTTGGTTCAGCAGCTCTGTGTAGATCATAACCAATCATTTAAATTTTCTGCCAAAAAAAGATTTGTCAAAAAAAAACATTTTTAATTTGTATCGTTTTTTTAAACTGCAAACGAAATGCTTTGAGAAATATTAAAATATCTTTTTTATGCACGCGACGGATTTTTTTTATCCAGTATATGGATAAAAAAAATCCGTCGCGTCTCCCTTCCCCTTCATAATTCCCCCTAGTCCACATAATTATATACGAGTCTACTTTTTTATAAAACCATCCACTAGTTTTCCCCTCTTTGCCTACGATCTAGGCATATAGCCTAGGTAAAAAACTTATTCAGACCTATATGTACAAACTTAAGTCACACACACTAGACAACCAGTTTAAATAGACCTGTATTTGTTTGACGAAATAACTTGATGGTAGGTCATTTTATACTGGATTTTCTAGGTACACTATACAACCAATGCAACTTGACCTCTTTTTGTAATGCCAAGGTACTAAGTGATAGGTCATTTTACATTGGTTTTCGTTATGGTACATGGGTTTTGCAAGGGGTTGTCCCCTATGGTGCCTTTGATCTTACTGAATAGAATTATGTCAAGTGTTGTGCGTAGGTACTGAAGATTCTGTTTTAGTTGGAAACGACAGCTTTTTTTCAACAGATTTTTTCTTGTAAGAAATCAGTTTTTGACTTCTTAGTTCCGCTATTGGCGGCGCTGCTGTCGCTTTTGGTCTATTGATTTTACTAATTCGGGAATCTCTAATCTCTTAATCTAATAGGCAAAACAGTGACTGATGTCTCGTGTAGGCCGGC